TCTGGGCCTTGGTATGCCCCAGGGGACAGATGTCTTGGGATCTTTAACATTTGGGATGCAGCAAATGCTGAAGTTAAATGAAATTTCTCAGAGGAGGGAGAGGTAGGGGCAGTCTGCTTCCGGGAGCGGGAAGATGGTCTAGGAGGCGGGCCCCCACACTCTGGAGGGAGAATTCGGAGAAGGCGAGGAAGGGAGGCGGCCGCTCGGCTGTCCAGGTGAGGGCAGAGGACGGCACAGAGGCCCCCACGGGGATGCGGACTGCGCGGCGGGGTGGCATCGGGGCAGCATCGGGGCTGCTGAGCAGAGCAGGCGGGGATGCGGGGCTCCTAACCAAGACTGCTGGTGTTACACCCCCCCCAACCAAACTTTCTCTTCCCCTACTCCCGTAACACACACACCAACCTTCCCCTTCCCTAGTCCCGTAACACACACACACACACACACACCACACACACACACACACACACACACACACACACACACACACACACACACACACACACACAACCCAACCTTTCCCCTTCCGTACTCCCGTAACTAACACACACATACATATTTTCACCTTTCCTTCCCCACTCCCTCAGACACACACACTTATTTCCACCTCCCCACTCCCCGGACACACACACACACACACATTCTTATTCCCCCTTTCTCCTCCCCTACGTCCCTCAACATACACTTTTCTCCTTACTCATACTGCCCCCCCTTCCCTTCCGCATTTGTGTATTGCCTCCACATCCGACGTCTGGAGAACCGAACACAGGCAAACAAAGGACACAAACTTTGGAGGCCCTAGACGGGGGGTGGGGTGGAGGGAGCAGTGGAATAGGGACCCTGGATGAAGCTAAGGCTAGGGGGTGGGGGGAGTTGGGGAGCAGAACAAAAGAGTTCTTTAAAGAAGGTGGAGCGAGGTCTGACTTCAGTACACACTTTAAGCATGCATCCCTGTCGTTCCCCTACCTCAGACTTCTGCGCGCGCACACACACACACACACACACACACACGAACACCAACACCCTTTCCAAGGTAGGTGGCCAGCCCTGCTTTTTGAGGTGGGGGAGCCAAGGGAGGGAGGAAGGCGGAAAAATGAATTGATTGCCATCAATTCTTAATTGGCCTGGGCTATTTCTTTCCCCTCTCCTTTTTTTCTGGTCCCTACTTGGTCTGTTTGTCCCTGTGAATGAATGAATGAATGAATGAATGAATGAATGAATGAATGAATGAATGAATGAAAGGAATAATGAATGAATGAATGAAATATACATGACCCTGCTTTAGATACTTTGGATGATACAAAGACTAAGACAGGCTTCCTGCCCTCACTCAGCCTAGTCTCCACCTGACCAGCTGACCCTAACCCTCTAGAATAAAAGGCAACTTTTGTGGTATCTTTAAGAGAGTAAAAGGAAGACCAGCGGGGGGCCCCCCATTTTTTGAGTAGGGGAAGTCTGTAAGACTTTTGAGTCATTCAGTTCATACTATGGGAGAATGACATGGATGCCGAGGGTTGAGTTAGTAAAGTCTAGACTGCTTAGCAAATCCAGTGCCTGGAAGACACTACCCTTTGCTGAATGGTGGGTCAAATTGCCCCAAGGGGCCCTCCAAAATTGCTCAGGCCTACTCAGAGTCCCTCTTGTCAAGGCTGGTTTTCATGCCCTCTTCTCCTTTGGACCTCAGATTGATCCTCCCTCACTTTCCCCAACACATACTCCTTAACTAATCCGTATTCTGTAATTTCCCCAAAGAGGTAGAGGAAGGACTAGCAGAGAGCATCCACTTAGGACAAGCAGAATTCTAGGGATTCCAGGAGAAACAGATTTTAACATCCAATACGGTGGAGGGAACACTTGCTTACCCTTTGCGGACTGTATATTACATTTAAGTGGTGTGAGAAATTCTGATTATTTCTAGCCCATCTTCCCAACTCAAGCCCAGAGCTGTGGGATGGCTAGTCTTACAAGCTGCCTTGGGGAGGGGGGTGCTTTACTTCCCTCCTTTTTAGAAGACCTGTGCCTGAAGATTGCTGCATTCTATTCAGGCTCCCAATAAGAGGAGGTAGGGGGAAGAGGGGATTTTCCCTGCCTGGGCCCCTCAGCAGCAACCCTGAGGTCAGCTGTTGAGGGAAGGATCTGGTGGTCAGCTGGGAGGGCCTCGGGGAGGGTATTGTTTGGAGAGAGGGTGTGGGTAAGGAATGTGAGTGAGCCAGCTAGGTGTAAGGGAAAGAGGGGGGAAATGGAGGAGATCAGGCTCTGGGAAAGCAATAAGGGGAGAGGGGGAAAGAAAGGGGTTTGGGAAAAACAGAAACAGACCTAGGGCTGAGTTGGGGGTGGGCCTGGGGACGGCATACAAAAGCCACCTACTAAAGACTTGAATCCTCTGCAGAGGGGATTGGTGCTAGCTCCTGGTTGTAATTTGGTAGCCCTGGAGTTTTCCACTTGAAACTTTGGAACTTGGGAAGCTTTGGGGACCCTGAGGGGTTGGGAAATTGCAGGATGAAAAAACTCAGGAAAACCACTGGTGCTCAGTCCAAAACATTCCATGTCTGACCCTCGGTTTCTTTTTCTGTTAAATGGGGGTATTGAATCTTGTGACTCACACCTCCTATAGTGCTTCAAGGCTTACAGAGTACTTTGCTGCAACAGCCCTGTGAGGTAGTTAGTGTGAGTATTATGATCCCTGTTTCATTATGAGGAAAGGGGTCCAGAGAATTGAAGCGTCTCATAGCTAGTGTCAGAGGCAGGACTCATATCCTGATGTAGCCTCCCATATCCTGACATCCTGCTAGACCATGAAGGAGTCTTGGAGTCAAGAAGATGTGTGACTATGGGCTAGTCACTTCTCTCAAAGACCCAAGTAACTCCTGAAGCTACAGTTAGGAAGAGCTGTTGAAGTACCCACTGACGTTCCCTTACACTAATGAAAGCCAGTCTCCCCAAGGTACTGTTCTGAGTACCAGAGATACAAAAATACCATCATTCCTTGTCAGCAAACTTTTATCAGGTGTGTCTAACACTGTATTGAGCAATAGGAGTGATATGTATGATACATGGGTTAGCTAAAGCTCAGATCCTGCCCTTAAACAGCTTATAGTCTAATGGGAGTGGGAGGTGGGGATGAAGGAAGCATGTACCAAAATAACTGATATGAAGAAGAGTAAGACTGGTGCAAAGGGAGATCCAGGCAAACCTAGGAGAAATTTGGGGAGGCGGAGATCACTTACATGTTAGGAAGGTGGTTAAGAAAGCATCCAGGGAGGATAAGACAGCTGGGTTGGGAATATCAAGAAAAGGAAAGAGAGAGAGAGAGAGAGAGAGAGAGAGAGAGAGAGAGAGAGAGAGAGAGAGAGAGAGAGAGAGAGACTCAAAACAGAGAGATGTGTGGAGGAGTCCATTCCAGGTGTGAGGACAATGGAAACAGAGACACTACACTTGAGATAAGAGAGCAGCAAGTGTGGTAAGTGTGGTCCAGTTTGGCAGGATCATAGAGGATGTGCAGAGGAGTGGTATTCCCCAAGGCTGAAGAGATAGGTCTGAACAGCATTATCAAGGACCTTGTATACCAGGATTAGGAATTTATTTAGAAGAAAGTTGAGGGCCACTGGAGGTTTTTCAGCAGGTGACAGGAAGGGAATAAGCATTTATTTATATAGCAACTACTATGTGCTAAGTGCCATGATCTCGAGGGTCCTTCTAAACTCTGTGATTCAGTGATTCCCATATATGTGTTCTTAGGCTGTTCCTCTTTCAGCATCTGGATAGGGTAAATGTACTTTTCCCAGCTTCCACCTCTGACTTGTAGGGTACAAAGGGTAGGTGGAATCAGGAGTGAGTAGAGTGGGGTGGGATTTTTAGAAAGCCTGGCTTTTCCCTCATCTGAGAAGTGAGTAGGATCACAAATAGATTTTGCTGGGGAGTAGGTGTCCTTATGTTTTGTGCGTGGGTGGTAAGAGAGAGACAGAGACAGAGAGAGAAGGAGTGAGAAAGATACCAGTGGGTACAAAGAATTCCTTTTCTTCCCCAGGGCTGCATGGTCACTGAAGTCATCGGTCCACTCTTATTTTATGGGACAGTCTTGGGAGGACAGCAATCTCTTAAGTCTGTCTTAAGGAGTCAGCCTATAGTCTTACTGCACTAAAGATTGGTTTTTTGTAATAAGAAGAGGAAAAGTTCCTTCCTGCCTTACCCCCAGAGACCTCCGTGGCACTGGGGGCCAGGGCTCAGAATCACCGAATTTCACAGTTGGAAGGGACTCAGATGCCATCTAGTGCAGCCCATACCTGAAAAAGAATCCCTACTACAAGGCCTGCCTTTACTTGACCCCCTCTAGAGAGGCAGCCCACCCCACTTTTTTTCAGAGCTTTAATTGTTAGGAAGTCTTTCCTTCTGTCAAGCCTAAATTTTCCTTATTGCAACTTTTGCCAGTTACTGCTAGTTTTGTCTTTTGGGGAATTCCTGGGTTCTTGACTTTGCTTTTGGTTGGTTATGTGACTCAGGATTTGAGAATCAAATGAGACAGTATATGTAAAGTGCTTTGCAAACCTTAAAGTGCTATATACAGGTTAGATGTTATCATTATTATTATATTATTATTATTAGCAGCTCTGCCTCCTTAGGCTTCAATTTCTTCCAGGTAAGGAGAAAACAACCCTCTCTTCTTATGAGCCCTCCTGCTCACTTACTCAGAAACGAGCCTTCCCTACCCTACTCCACCCTGGGAGCTTCACCTCCAGACCCCACCCCCCCAGTTTTCAAAAAGGCAAATAGTCTAGAATGAGAACAATAGCCTGATCCAGGAAAGCCACGGCCCCATAGGCCACCTGGGGTAAAAGCCCCACTGTTTTCTGCTTGGGGGCTCCCCTACAGATGAGTCCTGTCCCCCCCATCCCCCTTCCCCGGAAGTCCAGAGGCCCTAGGAACAGAGCTGCCGCAGGATTAGCTCAGGGAAGGAGTTGCTCACCTGCTCCTCCCCTCTGACTCAAGTCATAACAAGTAAGTAACCTGGTTCTCCTAGCCCAGCCGAGAAGGGCGGGAGGAAGGTAGGAAGGGAGGAGGGAGAGCCAGAGCAGGAGCAGAATGGCAAGCCCTTAGCTGGGGAGAAGCAGCATTGCCACTCAAACCCCCTTCATTCCGTGGACTTGGATTTCTGAGGGAAGAAGCTGGTTTTCTTCCCTAATTCCTGGGTCAAGGCATCCGAAGCAGGTAAGGGCAGGGGCTGGACTGAGGTGGTTTTTCTGGATTGGGGAGATAAGTAAGTAGAAGAAAGTTCAAGGCAGTGACTGAGGCGGAGGGCATAAGACAGGACTCTGGAGTGGTGGCCCAGTGAAGGGTGAGGCCATCTCGGTTTGATCCCTGTTGTATCTTATGCCTCAATTTTCTCAGGTGAGAAGGCAAAATTCCTCTTTTTTCCAGGTGAGAGGTTGGGAGTAGAAGAAGACAAATGGACTAGATGAGCTTTGAGGATTTTGAGAGAGGAATGAATAGATGTTATGATTGGGGGAGGATGGGGAGCTGGAAGGAAGCCCCAGAAAACTTAGTTTAAGAGAGTTTTCCCTCCCTCCCTTCTCCTCTTCTCTGTCACTCTATATCAGGCAACATCCTACGGCCAGATGGACTATTTCTTTCCCAGCAGAAAGCACTCAGCAAACAATGAAAGAGCTGGAGTCTAGGGACTGGGAGATTTGGGAAGGGACTCAAGAATTTTGGGGGAGGGGGTGACAAGTCACCTAATGTGGTGTCATCCAATGGGATTTTCTTAGAAGGCAGCTCCTATTTTGAGATGACCAAGGCCACAAAAGGGACTGACCTAGGAGGTGACTGTGGCAGGTACCTGGTGGCTACTGTTCAGAATAGGATTAGGGGCCAGATGTTGATTGAAGGAGATAATCTTCCTATTAATTAATTAGAATTTTGTGTCTTCTTTTCAACAACCTTCTAACTGACATAAACTCATTTAAGCTCACTGGTTTTTCTGGCTAAAACATCTAGCTATTCACTGTCTTTTTCCCCACTCCCATTCTGGGATATACAGATGAACTTCTACATACTTTTTCTTCAGATGAGAATTGAAGGAAGTGTTATTGCATAATTTGGAAAGTTCTTTCAAACTTGAAACTTTTTACCAATATGTTATATAAACAAAAGATGGGAAGAATACCTTCCATTTTCCTTTTTGCCATGTGACTATTGAAGAAAAAGCAACAGGCCCTAACTAGAGCAAGGCCTTTCATGTCACCTTCGGAATGTAAAGTTATTTGAGGTCAGAAACATTGTCTTTCCCTTTCGTTGTCTCCCTGGAGCTTAGAACTATGCCTGGCATGTAGTAAGTGCTTCATAAATGCTTGTTAATTTTTTTTCATTGATGAAATAGTGTTAGAGCTTTAAAAAAAAAAGGTCATTTAGGGCAACTCCCTCATTTTGCAGATAAGGAAACTGAGTCCTACAGATGAAGTGAGTTGTCAAGAACAGCTTGGACTCCGGTCCAAGATTCCTAATTCCTACATGGATGGGAGTTTGTTCCACCATGCCATGCACAGTGTGGTGCTGTGGGTCCCAGTATCAGATGTGGACAAATGCCTAGTGCCCAGAGTTTCTTCACCTGGGACAAGAAGAGTAGGAGAAACTGGGCCATGGAGGGCATGAGGAGCTGGACACCTGGGTGGGGAGTTGAAAAGCATGTGGCTATGGCCTGGGAATAGGACACCTTGGTTCTTCTGTTCTTTCATCTTCATCACTGCCCTTCCTCATCTCTGGGGAAGGGGGGAGGAGGGAGAGAGGAGAAGTGGAGTTACAACTTTAATTTCCTCAGGAGTGCTGAGTTGGAAGTGTGTAATTAATTAGTGATGATTATTAATTAGTGGGCCTCCTCTGCCTTTTTGTTCTTTATCTCCTCTTTCCTTTCCAAAGGCAAACACCTTGAGCTAGGTAAGTGGGGTTTGTGACTAGCTGCCCAGCTCTGACCTGGTACTCCTCTCTTGGAATTAGCATAGCAAGAGGGTCAGAGAAGATTTAGGGAGTGAGATAAAGTGTCCAGAGGAGGGCAGAAAAGCCTTCTGGTGAGGATGGCATCATACCTGAACTGATGCTCCATATGCATGGGATACAGTGGAAAGAGGACTAGTTGAGGACCTGAGTTCAAATCCTTCATCTCATGCTTACCACCTGTAAGCATGTAGGATGTAAGTTCCTTGTGAGCAGGGATGGCTTCATTTCCCCCCTTGTATCTTCAGTGCCTAGCACATGTAAGTTTGTGGATTAATTGACTGACATTGGGGAAGTGATTTATTCTTCCTGGGTCTCAGTTTCCCCATCAGCAAAGTTAGAGGTGTGGATTAGATGAGCTCTGGGGTTTCTTCCAGCTCTCGAGATCTATCAATAAGGCATTTAATCTGTGGTTACTCTTGTGCCCCACAGAGACCAAAAGACTAAAAATGGAGGTGACTGTCTTGGAAGGGCTGGAGAGAAGAAAGTTTCTTCCCAGTTACCTAGTTCCTGATGAACAAGGAAATCTGAGATAGTGAGGTTTATGTGCAGGCTGCCTTTTGTTTACACTGGCGCTACATAAACCTTTTTACTGACATCCTATGCGCTCTCTTGGCAAGGCCACCATCCTTTCTCCCTTTGCAAAGTTAGAATTTTGGCCATGTAGTCCACCCTTTAGGTCAGTGGGGCTGTCTGGCTTTGTTATTGGAAGTCTCAGCCTCCACGGTCAGGTGGGTCGTACCTTTTCCATAGTATTACCCCTGTTCCTGGTCTTGATTAAAAGAGAGGACTCTTCTAGAGACTCCAGATGACCGACCGCTCCCTCTTTCCTGTACCTCACACCCTCTCCCTGCTGCCTTGTTTACCAGCTTGCCTAAGACCTACTCTGCTGAAGGCAGAAGGGGCGGGGCCCTTCTCCTCCACCCCACAGCCTCAAGTGCCCAGAGGAGGCAGGATAAGCACCAGACAGAAACTCGGAAGGACTTTTGGACTCTTGTGCAATGATGCTGACTCAGTAAGGAGGTGTCTGAGCCCTGGATCCAGGCTTGGAAGAGCTCCTCCCCCTCCCTTCAGGCAGCCCCGTTCAGGACTCCAAGGCTTTGTGGAAGTTGGTGGGCAAGTGAATCCCTCCAAGCTGACTGATAGACTTGCACAATGTTCTGGTGACACTTGAGTGATGTGGAATCCCAAAGAGGGGCCAGAAAACAAACGAATAAACAAAAAATGGTCCTGGGGAATCCTGGTTCCTAGTATGGGCTCCACAGAAGGCTTTCTCTTGAGGATTTAAAAAGGGAGGAAAGAAAAGGGATTACAATGCTAGCTCTGTTTGTTACTTTGTGTGTCCTTGGACAAGTCACTTCCCTTCTCAGCCTCAGTTTCCTTATCTGTAAAATGAAGAGGTTGGAGTAGAACCTTTCCTACTCTAAAACCTATGATTTTCTTTTGTTGTAGCCACAGAAAGGGCTTTAGGAGACTTGGTCTTCTTTCCTGATTGTAGGTAAGCAAATCTCTGCCCTTTTTTGGACCTCAGTTCCTCACCTGCAAAATGAGGCCATTGGATTAAATATCTGTTAAGGTTCCTTTCTACTCAGATAGTCTGATTTTATTTGCGACATAGTGAAAATAATAATGGATGTGAAAGATAAACAAGACCTAAATTTAAATCCTGGTTCTGATGCTTAACTCTCAGAGATTCTTTCCTTGTTTGTAAAATGGAGACAGGAGAATTCTTACACTATCTACCTCTCAAGTTTATGATGAGGAAAGTGCTTTCTAAGCCCTAAAGTGATATAGAAGTCAGGGCCACAAGCATTTATTAAACACCTACTGTTCTCTAGGCACTGTGCTGATGGCTGGGGAAATACAAGTTGTGAATTGCTGCAGTTTCCTTTTCTTTCTGGAGCTGTTTCAAAAAGCCCATCCTTTCCAGCTACCCCATATGCCACCCTGATTCTGGGGTGGTGGTATGGGTGGTATTCTTGTCCAAGCCAGAGTGAAGCTTGGCCTACACTGTATACCCCCTAGACCTACCCAGGCATGGTGAGCAACCTTCTGTTTCAGAGTCCTTCTTTCAATTCTTCATCGAATTTTGAATAACCAGGGTCACAGAACAGAGGCTTAGGGGCCCCAAGCGATGGCCTTGGCAACATTGAGCCCCATATTCTGGTCCTGCCCAAGTTCCCTGGGGCATCTACCCAAAAGTGGGTTGTATTGACCTTCCCACTACTCTTTGGTAAAAGCTATGGCAGTGTCCGCAAGGACAGCAGCCATGTACCCTTGTCTCTCTGAAGGATCCTCTTCCCATCCCAACAAAGTTGTCATGGAAGGGGTGCCAGATGAGCATCCCGTTTACCTAGGTACCAGTTTCTGCCTCAGAGGGGCAGAGGATGCTGACTTGCATGTGGGAGTGTTAGAAGAGGCAGCATGGGCTCATGGAGGGCCAGTTGGAGATGGAAGTCTTCTTACACTTTATTTTTTCTCTATGCACTCTCCAGTCAAACTACTGACCCTCTTACTACTCCACTGTTTTCAAACTCCTGAGTCTTTTCCCTGACTATCTAGGATTGCCTGGAATCCTCTTCCTCCTTACCTCTGCCTCAGGCTTCTCTCCAGACTCAGCTCCAATTCCACCTTCTGCCGGAGGCCTTTCCTGGTCCCTCTCAATGCTAATGTACATATTTTTGTGCCTGTTGTCTCCCATTAGAATGTGAGCTCCTTGAGGTCTGGGATTACCTTTGCCTTTCTTTGTTATCTCCTGCATTTAGCTTCAGGCCTAGCGCTTAGTAGGCACTTAATAAATTCTTGTTGACCAACTGATATGGGAGGAATGGGCCACTCAGGGATGCCGAGAAATTCCCTTCAGCCAAGGCTGGATGGTTGTTCTCAGGGTGTGTAGTAGTGACAATTCCTTTAGGGGTAGAGGTCAGTTTAGGGGCCCCCTCAAGCCCCCTCTAACTTGGAGATTTTTTGATCCTAGGCTTTGCTAGACTTTAGCTTAGTAAGAAGGACCATTTTACCCTTAGTTATGGGAATTCTACTATCATTCATCACCAGGGTCTCAGCCCAGAACATGGAGCAAAATGAACACATTAGACAAGAGTGAAGCATCTTAGGGAAAATAGGACATCATTTTAGAGGCAGTAAAGGTAATTAGGAGGGGTTTTTTTTGGTATCTAAAAAATTAATTGTTTTCAATTCCTCAAAATCAATTTTTTATCCCTTCCTATGTCCTCTACCTGAAGAAAACCAAAACCAAAACCTTTGTAATCAGTATGCATGGTCAATCAAAACAAATTCTTACACTGGCTATGGCCAAAAAATATATTTCTCATTCTGCACAAAGAGTTGAGTGAGCTCACTTGATGTGTGGGACTATTTTCTCTTGTCTTTCTTCTAAGAGACTGCTACCAGTTTGAGAGCAGAGCTTTAAGAGCAAAAAAAAAGTGTATATTGGCACTCAAGGGGTTAAACCTTCTTTCTTTCCCCTTCCACTCCTCCTCCCTTCCCCCCCTCCCCAGCATCCTGCTGTTAATTACTTTCTGCTTGGAAAAAGGGTCCTGGCCCCTTAGGCAGGCCCAGGTGAGTCCAGACATGGCCTCTTTGTTCTTTCCCAAGCCAGGGAAAGTCCAAGCCACCTAAAGTCCCTGGCTGGGAGCTGTGTTCCCCTCCTCTACTCTGTCTCCCCCGCCCCCCCGGATGTCCACCATGGAGAGCAAGGATGAGATCAGCGACACAGACAGCGGCATCATCCTGCAGTCTGGTGAGTGGCTCAGGGGAAACCCCTCCCCAGGAATAGGCCAGCTGCCTGAGTCCTCATTCCTCATGGTTGGAGTCTCTGACTGGGGAGATAGGGAGACTGGGGAAAGGAATCAGAACCCAAGGGATCTCTCCTTCCTCGAGGAGGGCTGGCCTCGAGCTGTTGCTGTTCTCCCTGGAAACAGGGGAATGGACTTTAGGACCTCTCAGTATCTCTTGGTACCACTAGCTCCCAGGAATTCTTCGAGTTTATAGTTCTATCTCTTGGCTTGTACTGGCCAGTATGCTTTATTTTGTGTACATCATCTCCTCTAAAAAGGAACCACGAGTATGTGTGGTTGTGCTAAGGCTGTGCTAAGTCATAGGGGCGTACAGTGAGAGCTCATTTTAAGCATAGAACTGAGGGCCAGACAGACTTGCCCAGGGTCATGCAGGTATTAAGTCAAAAAGCTGGGATTTGAACCCAGGTCCTCTGACTAAAATCTAGTGCTCTTTCTGCTACTGTTCCTCCCCTGCCAAGAGGAAGGAAAGAGGCAGAGCAAGAGGGACAGGAAGTTCTCCTGGAAGTTTTCATAGGCTTGCCTGCCTCCTGTGGCCTCTTGGAGCAGGCTGGAACATGGGTAGCTTCCCTTACCCTGGCCCTTTGAGCAGCCTTGACTCAGGAGGCCAAGGCTCACCGATATCCTCAGGTCAGGTGTGTGATAGACACGAGTGAATGGTGCTTGTGGGGTCTCTAAGGGGAGGTTGGGCGGGTGTCTGGGAGAGGCTAAGGCAGCCTTACTCTTCCTCTCCTCACTTCAGCCCAGGGATATAGATGGCTTATGTGTTGCTCCTTCCATCTAGGCCCCGACAGCCCAATTTCCCCCATGAAGGAGCTGACCCATGCCATGCGGAAGCAGCAGAGAGCTCTGGAGGAGCGTCTGGAGTTATGTCTGGAGGAGTTAAAGAGACTCTGTCTTCGAGAAGCAGTGAGTGCGCTCTCTCCCTTGTCTAGCAGAGGCGGTCGAGAAATAAGGGGGTGGGTAGAGAGTTTGGAGGAAAAGAAGGGGACGAGATCAGCTGAGGTGAGGATAATGGGAGGGGTGGGTACAGACAGGGCTTTGGCCTAACATTGTCTCCTGCTTCAGGAGCTGACCGGCACACTGCCGCAGGAGTATCCCCTCAAACCAGGAGAAAAGGCCCCCAAGGTTCGCCGAAGGATCGGAGCAGCTTACAGACTGGATGAACAGACCTTCCGAAGAGAGGTGAGGGGGCTGGTCTTTCCTTGAGAGATAATCAAGGCTCTGAGGCATTTGTCACCTTCCCTAGTGGGCAGAAGATCAAATCCCAGGCCAGGGTAGCACTGTAGGTACCATGTTGGGGCCTGCTCTTCCTTGGCTTGGGGACCCACTTGTGAGCTTTGCTCAAGAGCTCTGTGTTGGGTTGACTATTCTGATTTTTAAGGTGATAGGAACACTTTGTTTACTGCATTTCCTTGTGTTCCATAGATCAGAAAACAAGATTCCCTTATCTAGTTAGCTAAGTGATTCTGGAGTGATAGGGGTGGAAAAACAAAAGTCTGTCATTCAATCTGGCTAATTGGCTGAAAGTGATCCAGGGATTGCAGAGTAGGCAAAGGAGCTTAATCCAACGTGCCCAGGGCATTCTGGAAGCTTTCTCCTCCAGGGGCCCACTGGGAAATAAGGCCTCCCAGCCTAGAAAGAATCAAGGCCAAGCTTGGGCTGGGGAAAATCTGAAAGCTTTGGTGCCACTCAGTCTGGGACTGGATAGATGCCTTTATTTATATTTCTAATCACCTTATTACCCTGGTGTATTATTGTTGGATTTGTCTATTCCCTTCTCCCTTGTAAATAACCCCCCCAATATGTGCAGGAATGGTCTGGGACATGTAGAAACAGGGTCAAAAGGAAAGAGGGAAATGGATGATAAACCTAGATCCAGGAGGCAGTATCGATAGCAGAAGGGAGAAGGGAAGTAATTAGGATTTAGGTGTAGTAGATTTCAGAGCCTAGCTGTCAGGGAATGGTGCTTTGAGTTATATATAGTTCAGGGATAGGTGAAGGTTTAGAAAATAGTGGAGAGTGAAAGTCCTGAAACTGAAAGCTAAAGTTCCTTGCGTCTGCTGTAGGCCAAGACCATTGTCTTATGGCCTGGAAAGCTGACCGGGAGGCCTAAAGCCTAGGCCTAGGTCCTTGACATTCTCTAACACTTTGGGAACAGACTTTATCAGGTTCCCACTTGGCAGCCACCCCAGTCTTACTCTCTCTGACCCAACAAAGTCGAGAGAGAAAGTGTCCCACTTATGCTGGGTGGGAAGTTGGGACGACACCCTCTGGCCTGCTAGTTGAGCCTGCCCATCCCCACATGTGTCTGATGGGTGGGTCTTGGTGCTTGACTTTCTCGATCAAGGAGGTGGCTCTGGTTCAGCCTTGGAAACCTCCCCTCCCTTTGCCCTACAGCTCTGTAGACTTTGGTCTTCTCTCCCTGCCTTTCCAGGGAGGGGGAAGGGAAGGGAGACTTCTCTCTTCTTTAAAGTCAGATTTCTCCTGTGGTCCAGGAGCACCTCGTCCAGGGCACGCTCTTGAATGAGATATGGTCTCTACCTTTTGGAGAGATAGAGGCTTGACAGAGGAGACATAATCACTGCCCACAAAGATCTCCCCAGGCCTGATGAGAGGCATTATGGCATAGTAGATAGGGCATTGGACTTGGAATCAGGAATACCTGAGTTCAAATCCCTCTTCAGAGATGTACTAACTGAATGACTTCCCTGGGCCTCATCATAAAATGAGGGGGTTGGCCTAACCCCAATGGTCTTTAGGGCCTTTTACAGCTCTACATCTATGATTCTTTGACAGTCTCGGCCCACAGGGATTCCCAGTCTAATGGAAACACAATTAGCCCACTTGTGGTATCTGTGTTGACTTTGTCTCCATGACCCCTGCCCAGGACCCTCTGAGCAGCCTGGAGCAGGAGCTGGCACTACAGCTACAGATTGCAGAGGCGGCCCGTCGTCTCTACAAAGAGGAGAACCTCACCAAGCAGATCCGAAGACAGAGGAAGCATGCAGTGCTGCAGGAGGAGAAGAAGCTTCGGGAGCTAGAACACAGCCTTAATGAACGGAGGCTCAGTAGTGGGTGTGCACCCCTTTCTCCTGCCACCATGCTCAGGGGAGGTGAGTGGGCCCTGCCTTGGCAGGGACCCCCTGACTTCAGGCCTAGATGGTGTGTGCTCAACTCTTGGGCCTTCCAGCCAGGAGGGCTGGACCCTGAGGTTCCTGAATGGTGCCTCCTTCCTATGGAGCCACCAGGGTTACTAACCCTGCTATGTAAAACCCAGCCTCCCCACTATTACAGGGAGTGGGGAGAGACTACTACTTCTCCAGAAGCTTAATGAGAACATCCTGGTTACTCTTCTACTCTAATACTAATTACTCCCGATTAATCTTCTCTACTCTTGAGTTTCTGTTGCTGTCCTGATCAAGAGAGTGAAATTCTTGGGTCTGCTACCTTCTGGCCTTTTGTCCAGTTACTCTACTCCCAGGGCAGAGGCCAAAGTGAACACTGCTCTTATGTGTCTCTAGAGCACACAGCAAATTGATAGTACTCAGGGCCTGTCTGCTCACCATAGAAGATCCTGCCCTGGAAACCTTCCACTGTGGTTTTAACTCTTAATCCTCTTAGACCTTGGATTTGACTGGGTGTTCTCTCAAAGCCAGCTGTCCAACCATGGCCTTTTTCTCTCACCCCACCCTATTCCCCCAGTTGAGAGAACCCAATCTTTAGCTTCCTGGTATATAGGAGGTTATTGGTTCCTCTTCTTCCTCCATTCTGGCTTGATAAAGTACCACTTAGTCTTGGCACTTCTCAGATATTAGTTATGCCTGGGAGCTCTCTGGGCTGGGAATTAATAAATTGAGGCCAAGCAGAGTACAATGATGATGGAGCTGGGCTGGGATTCCAGGGGATTTGGACCTGGGCTTGTATTACAAGTCTTTGCTTCTTTCATACCTGAGCTATCCTAGCCCTTCTTTATCTGGAAGGTCTAGAATCCTCTTGTGAGAGTACATCATAAGACATCTTAGGCTCTTCCTGGTCCCTGGCTACACCAGTCTACTGCCCCCCTAAAGGGGTTGTTGCATCCTTCTGTCCACTGCTTCCTCATCTGCCTTCCCTGGAAATGTCTATTAGGAGTTGAAAGATAGTTTCCAGATTCCTCCCAAGTCAACTTTAGGAACCGGAGCAGAGAAAAATGGTGAGAACAGGAAAGGACTCGACTTCAAGTGACTTTTGGCCCATTAGATAAAGGTGCTAGAGTTGCCCTCTAGAGCCAGACCTTTTTATTTATTCAATCAATAAACATTTGTTAAGCACCTACTATGGGCCAGAGATTGGGATACAAAGAGAGGGAAAAGATGATCCCTGCCCTCAAGGAGATTACAGACAACAAGCAAACAAATGTATACAAAGCAAGCCATTTACAGGACAGATTTTGTTGTTTGCTCAGCTGTTTTTCAGTCAAGTCTAATTCTGTGTGACTCCATTTGGGGTACCATTTCCTTCTTCAGCTCATTTTATAGATGAGGAAGCTGAGGCAAATTAGGTTAAGTGACTTGCCCTAGGATCCCACAGCTAGTAAGTGTCTGAGGTCAGATTTGAGCTCAGATATGAGCTCAGATCTTCCTGACTCCAAGCCACTGTGCCACCTAGCTGCCCACAGGATAAATAGGAAATAATTAAAACAAGGAAAGCACTGGAGTTTGATGGGGGAAAGAGGGATGGGGGGAGGCTTCCTGTATAAGGTGGGATTTTAGTTGGGACTTAAAGGAAGCCAGGGTGGTCAGTAGGCAGAGTTGAGGGCAGAAAGTGTTCCAGACCTGGAGAAGAGCCAGAAGGAAGGCCCAGAGCTGACAGATAGAGTGTCTTGTTTGCAGAACAGCCAGAAGGTCAGTGTCCCTGGATTTAAGGGGAAGGGCATGGCTCAGGGCTTGGCTAAAGCTAATATTCCCAAGTTATAGAATCCTAGGGTGTGTTTGAATTGGGAATGACCTCAGAGACCATCTTATCCAACTTCCCTGTTTCATAGTTGAGGAAGTTGGAGATATGAGAATGAGAATAATACACTCATGGTTGTATAGATAGGGAGTGGAAGCTTTGGGGTGCCAGTCACTCTTTGTGAGAAGCAGGTGATAAAAAGGAAGGTCAGGGACCTGGGAAAGCTATAAGGAAAGATAATATCATCTTGGCCCCATCTGTCATTCCTGGGGACTTGTTATCTCTGCCTTCAAAAGCCTGTTTCTGGCTAGGGGCCTGAAACTGTCCAAGGGCAGTTAGTTTAGAGAGTGATGTATGGGGTATGAGTGTGGCCTAGGGGATGGGTAGATCATACCTTTGGCTCTTCCTTCCTCGGGTCCATTTCTAGTCCCTCTGATGGCTTCAGGCTGCTTGGGCAGAAGGCCTCTTATTGCCAGCTGGACCTGTAGCTCCTAGACACCATGTCCAGAGGCAGCATAGCTGTGACAACAGAAGGCTGAAGCAGTAGAAGGAGGGTGTCCACCATGCCTGCTGATCCCCTCTTCAAGAGTGGAAAGCAGGTTAGGACGTGGCCGGGTGGAGATATGTGGTAGTTTTGACTTAACTCTCTGTGGGAGTCAAAAGGTTATCAAGAAACCTGTCTTGGGGTGCTCATTGGAGAATGGGGGTGGGGAAAAAGCTGAGATGGTCACTTATTCCCATTTTTAAATTGGGGACAAGATCTTGTGACCATAAGGTTCCACTCCCAGGAAAGGGGTAAGAGCTCTGGAGGTAGTTCTGCTCGGGCAGCCAATATCCTTGTTCAGGCCTTTATCACCTCTTGCCTGAATTATTGCTACAGCCTCCTAATTGTTATTTCTGCTTCCAGTCTCTTTGTCTACCAAGCCATCCTCCCTCTAGCTGCCAAAATACCTTCCCTAAGGCACAGGGTTGATCATGGCACTCTGCTCAAAACTCTTCAGCGGGCCCCTATCTCTTCTAGGATAGAATGCAGACTGGCATTTAATGCCCCTCACAGTCTGCCTTATTTTGTGTTATTCCTCTTCTCAAACTGAATTCCAGTCAAGGAGGCCCACTAGCTCTTCCCCAGACTAGACATTCCATCTCTCCCAGGCTGCAGCCTATGTTTCCAATGCACTCCGTCCTTGCCTCAGCCTCTCCTTGAAGCAGTCCTGAACTCCAGCTCGGGTGCCCCCTTCTATCCGATTCCCAACTTTCCTGATTCTCTCAAAGGTCATTGCTTTCTGCCTCTTAAAATAATAATAATACTAACAATAACAATAATAATAACAGCAGCTAACATTTCTAAACTTATTGATTATATTGGGCAAATCATTTATGAACATTTCAGAAGTAACATTTCTAGCTGCTATCATCATCATTGTTATTAATTCCCATAGAGCCTGCAGTGTGCCTGGCACTGTGCTAAGCTCTTCACAGATATTATTGTCTTATATTTACTTACCTGGTACAGGTTGTATCAGCATCTTGTCCCCTCCCTCAGTAAAATATAAGCTCCCTGAGGACATCAGCTGTTTTTTTTTAGACTTTGTATGTCCAACACTAGCATAGTGTGATACACATAGTTAGCATTTATTAAATAGTAGTTGAATTAAATTGCATGATAGTGAAAAGTACACTTGATTTGGAGTCAGAGCACTTGGGTTCATATCCTGGCTCTGATCCCTCCTAGCTGTGCCATCTTGGCCAAGTCAAGCCTTTATTAAGGGAAGGTGCTATAATGTTGGTCTTGGAGTCAGGAAGACCTGAGTTTTAATCTTGCCTCAGATAATTACTTAGTTATGTAATCATTTAGCCTTTCTCGGCCTGAGTTTCCTCATCTATGGCGGTGATAAGAGGTCATACCTCATAGGGTTATTTTGAGAATGAAATGAGATAACATGTAAACCTTAAAGAGTTATATAAATGTTAATAATTATTATTATTAATAAGTCAGATTCTTCATCTGTAGTAAAATGAGGGGATACGACCAAATGATGCTCTCTAAATCCTTCCAGTTCTAAATCTTGCAATATTTTCCTCTACTTTTCAATTTCCAGCCCCATTCTTGGCCTCCAAATGTGTTCCAATCCCAAGGAAGCCCTTCCTTACCTTCACAGAGTAGGTAGAAGGAAGAACCCTTCTGAATGAGCTCTTCTAAGAAAGAGGAAGTAGCAAAATTAATAAGAAGCTAATAGCTGGAAAGCTCTTTGAGGCAAAGAGAGCATCTCATTACAGTGCAATAATTTCATTTTGGAAACATAATTATATCAGTCCTGCATAATTAGCTGGGATCACAGCAGGGGCTGTGTGAGGAGACTTCCTCCTAGAGCCCAGACGCTTTGGTGGATTCAGAGGGGGAAGGGGACCCGAGGATCATGGAACTTAGAGTTTGAAGTACCTTTTGATTGTAATGGGCAAATCATTTATTAACCTTTCAGAGCCCAAGTTTACCCCATTTGTAATAATGCTTGCATATCCTTCATGGTGTTGTTATGATGAGGAGAGTGTTTTGCAAACCTCAAAGCAGTATAGAAATGGCAGTTTATTGCTTTTTTCTTTTCTTTTTTATTATCCACTCCAAACACCTTTATTTTAAAGATGTTGAAACTGAGGCTCAGGAAGGAAAAATAATTTCCCCATGAAACTCTATTCAGTAAGGAACTTAGGTCTCTGACTCCAAATTCAGGGCTCTTTCCACTGTGCCACACTGCCCTTCTTTACCTAGTATGTAGTGCTTAGCATACAGATGTGATTGCCTGGAGGTAGAGGATGGAAGTCTGGCAGTCTCCAAATCCCCTGTGCCTGCTGATGACCTCATCTGCCCTCCTCCCAACCCCATTTCTTTTCTCTCCTCCAGAGCTGAGCACTTCTGATGACAGCTCCCTGTCAGATGCGGTGCTATTGGAAGAAGGTAAGTGAGACTGTTTGGGAAATGGAGTTAGATGGGAGTACCCCAATGAAGGTAGTTCTCCATAGCTTAGGAGCTCCCATCTCCCCATTCCCTGAGAAGCTTAGCAAAGGTCTCCATTGACCCTCACATGTCAAGTAAAGATGTATAAACTTTCTGGGCATGGTGGGTTTTTTTTGGTTACTGTTTGGTCATTTCAGTTGTGTCGACTCTTTGTGACTCCATTTGGGGTTTTCTTGGCAAAGATATTGGAGTGGTTTTGTCATTTCCTTCTTCAGCACATTTTATAGATGAGGAACTAAGGCAAACTGGGTTAAGTGACTTGCCCAAAGTCACACAGCCAGTAAGTGTCTGAGGCTGGATTTGAACTCAGGAAGATGAATCTTCCTGACCCTAGGCTTGGTACGCTTTGCCACCTAGTTGCTCCTGGGCACAGTGGTACAGCCCTGTAATTCTTGCTTCTGAGGGAGGCTGAGGCTGAGGTCAGGGGAATTCTAGGATGCAGTACAGCTAAAGCTGATCAGGTGTCTTCATTAAGTCTGACACCAGAATGGTGAGCCCCTAGGAATGGAGGACCACCAAACTGCCTAAGGATAGTCAGACTAGCTCAGGTTAGAAAGACAGAGCAGGCTAATGCTTTTGTACCAGTCAGCTTTGGAGATGAGTGCTACACTTTCAGCCTAGGCAAGATAGGGGAAAATTTTGTATAAAATAGCTTAGGCAGAGCAGAGAGGCAAAACTCCTTAGTTCAGGAATTCTGCTCATAGTGGTTTCACCCCCTTTGAATTTTCCTAGAGCCTTTTATCTGGATTACTCCTTTGTACCCATCACATTCTGCTTTGTATTATACATATTTGAACCCATATCATCAGTGTTAGGCTTGAAGCACCCAGAGGGCAAGGATGCTTTTTCTTTTTTTTGGTCTTAGTATTCCTTGTGCTTTGTACATACAATTTAGAGCAGGAAGAGAAGGTCCCTAGAGGGCAATTAGTCTAACACCCTTATTTTACAGATGAGGAAACTGAGGCCCAGTGAGGTTAAATGATTTGCCCAAGGTCATAGAGTGGTGTGATTTGAGCTCAGATTGTCTGACTTCAGAGATAATGATTTTTTTGGGGGGAAGGGGGCTAGGCAATGACCCCTAAGTGACTTGCCCAGGGTCACACAGCTAGTGTCAAGTGTCTGAGATCAGATTTGAACTCAGGTCCTCCTGACTCCAGGGCCGGTGCTCTCTATTCACTGTGCCACCTAGCTACCCCAGAAACAATAATTTTTAACTGCACCATAATTAATAAGTTTGTTGAATTAGGGTTAGGCTTCTTATCCTGGCCCGTAGTAGAGAAACCCCTCTCTTGCCTGGGCACAGGCCTAGATGGGATGAATGACCTGTTTGCCTGTACCAAGTTCCCTGCGCCAGCTTCTCACAACAAATGCAGAGGACTGGTGGTTGAGAGCTGAGTCAGTTTCAGCCCAGGAGTTCCTGAGCCTGGGAGCCAGATGACCCCAGTGGGGAGATAAATTCCAGACTTGTCAGCCAGAGACCCTGAGGGCAAGGAAGAGACAGTCCAGGCCCCTGAGAAAAGTTTCACCCTTGGGGAAGAAGGGAGACACACTCTGGGGATTTTCCCACAGTGAACCAGCCAGAGTCACTGAGGATTCTGCTGTTCAGAATCTCTGCCCTTTCTCCTCATTAGAGCTGAGTATAACTTTTCTGGCCTCTGGAGTTTGGCTCGTGAATATAGCCGGGCAGTGATAGGAAAAGGCCAAATACTGATGAGGGAGGCACCTTTTGTTTGCAAGCCTGGGATTGAGGAGGGCCTAGGGATCGTCCACAGGAGAAGGCACAGAACGTTCTGAGGCCTCCAGAATATAGAAACTACGCACTAGAAAAACATGTCAATGGAAACATAATAACTAAAAGGTTGGCAGCCAGTGCTGCAGGTGCCAAGATACACCCTGAGTGGAAGAATGGGTTGTGTGGTATGGTTCACCTGGGAGGGCTTCCTGGGGGAGGATGGCTTAGACACCTGAGGGATCTGGGGCCGTTCATTGACGTCTGTGGCCAGAGAGAATCCCTGGGGCAATCGGCGTAGGCCCTGGAAGGAGAGGAGAGGAGAGGCACAGAACAAGCAGCTTGGTTCCTGCTGGGCTGGTTCTCCCACCAGCCACCCTTACTGTCTTTCTTCTCCATTTGCAGAAGAAGCCCAGTTGCCAAAACCTGTTCCAGAGTCCCCGGCACCGCCTACCAGGTCACTCCCGCCCCAGCGGCTGGAGGGGCTGAAGCCAGCAGGGCCTGAGGCTGGGGGTCCAGAGCGCTCTCCAATCCAGAACAGCCCCTGGAAGGAGACGAGCCTGGATCATCCCTATGAGAAACCCAAGAAATCTCCCTCAGAATTTGATAGCGAGTCCAGGTAGAGGCATTGGGGGCTTGGAGGTCAGGCGTCTGGAGGAAATGATGCTGGGAAGGGGGTGGGGTTAGAGGCAAGGAAAAGGTGGGAAAGGGTTGAGTGACTTCAGCTTCTCCTTGATCAGTATGACTGGGCTCTCTTGCCCAGAAGTAGAAATGTATTCCCCGCTGAACACAAGTTCACTTTTGCTTCTTTCCACCCTAACTTCTACCTCAAACTCAAACCTGTGCTCCCGAAGGAAAAACAACCAAAAAACAAAACAAAACAAAACTCCAAACCCATGGGAAAATTCTCCCTTCTTACCCTTCTCTCTCTGCAGCAGCCCAGCCACGACACCCCAGGATGGGCCGAGCTCCCTCAGCTCCTGGGTGCTGGAAGCACCTGCATTTCACATGGTCCCACTCCGAAATGTTCCTGGACAAGTTCAAGGCCGGGCAAGTGCCCCTGCTACCCCAGAGATTCAGGGGAGACGGGGGCAATCTCAGTCTCTAAGGTAATGAATCCTAGGGATTGGGCTCCCATTTATAGAACTCTTTTTGGGATTTACAAAACACTTTACATTCATTGTTTTATTTGAGCCTCCACTTAATGATCAGTTTGACCAGCAGATCTGTTAAGAGTGTTAAGGACACGGTAGATTCATTTGCATTTTATAGTTGAGAAAACAGGTTCTGAGAACTTCAGTGACTTGCCCACATTCACACAGATAGGAAGGATCTGAGGTGGGATTCAAATCCAGTTCTTCTTGATCACAAGTCCAGGCATTCTATGACCTTTCTATTCATTGCTGCCTCTGAGTATCCTTAGAAGAGAGACTAGAGGCAGTTGGGGTGAAGACCTCGAGTTCACTGGCTTTCTCTGTACAGACTCCTGACCTAGATGGCCCATCTGCCTCCCTGAGCACAATTCAATTAGCCAGACATTTATTTTTAAAACATTTTTTTATTAATTTATTTTGATTTATGAACAATCACTTCCATAAGCATTTGAGTTTAAAAAGTTTTCTCCACCTCCCTCCCCAAGATGGCATGCAGTCTGATACAGGCTTTACATATACATTCCTATTAAACATATTTTCACATTAGTCATGTTGTAAGGAAGAATTAGAACCAATGGGAGGAACCACAAGAAAGAGGAAACAAAACAAAACAGAAGAAAAAAAGTGGCAAATAGTATGTTTCGATCTGCATTCAAACTCCATAGTTCTTTCTTTGCATGTGGATAGCATTTTCCATCATGAGAGTTTTGGAGATGTCTTAGATCCTTGCATTGTTGAGAACAGCTAAGTCTATCAACTTTAGTCATCACACAACGTGGCTGTTAACTGTGTACAACATTCTCCTGGTTCTGCTCACTTCACTCAGCATGAGTCCATACAAGTCTTTCTAGGTTTTTCTGAAGTCTGCCTGTTCATCTTTTCTTACAGCACAATAATGTTCCATTACATTCACATACCACAACTTGTTCAGCCATCCCCCAATTGATGGGCATCCCTTCAATTTCCAATTCTTGGCCACCACAAAAGAGCTGCTATAAATATTTTTGTACATGGGGGTCCTTTTCCCATTTTTATGATCTCTTTGGGATACAGCCCTAGAAGTAGCCAGACATTTATTAAGCACCTGCAAGTGCCAGACATTGTATTATGCACTGGGAATGTTATAGAGAACAGGAGGTCTTTGACATCTACCTACTTACCCTCTAAAGGAGGATAAGTCTTGTATACTAATAAACTCTGCTCCAAGGCAGAGTGTAATAAGGGCAAAGGAAAGGCCTGGACAAAGTGATCTAAGAAAATCTGAATGGGGAGGGAGAGAAAACTTTCAGGTGGGGTAGGGGGGAGGAAATCAGGAAAGGCTTCATGGAGGAGGAGCTAGTACCTGAGTCGGCTTGAAGGAAGACAGTTTACAAAAGGTAGGGATATCAAAAGGATTGTATTTCAGAAATGGAGATTGGTCTCTAGGAAAACACAGAGATGAGAGGGCAGAATTTTTTAAAAAGGCTAATAGTTCTCTTTGGCTGAAACATGAGTATAAGAGTGTATTATGAAATGAAGCTATAAAGGTGGATTTGTCTCTATGTTGTCTCCACCATCTGAATGCAAGCTCCCTGAGGGTAGGGATTGCTTGTGCTTTGTTACCCCCATAATGCCTGGCACTTAGTAAGCATTTAATAAGTGCTTGTTGAATGATTGATTGATTAATTGGAGCCGGACTGTTGGAGGTCCTTGAAATGTCAGGCTGAGTTTGCATTCTACCTTAGAGGCGAGAGGAAGACACAATAGGAACATTTTTGAGTAGAGGAGTAACATAGTCTGTTCCCATCTGCAAGATTATCAGCTGTGTGAAGAACACACTGGAGAGAGGAGATATGGGCGGCAGGGAGATCACTTAGGAGGCCATTGGAATAATCCAGGCAAGAGATGATGAGGGACTAAACTGGGGTGGTGGCAATGGATGTCAAGAAAGGAGGGATGTAAAAGATATTGAGGAGAGAGGAAATATAGACTTAGCAACTTTGGGTATAGGGGATAAGGCTGAAGGAATATTCAAAGGCGATGCTTGAATTTTTGAGCCCACATGAATGGGAATGTGGTGGAAAGAAGGAAGTTGAGAGTTAGTTCCCTTGACAAATGACCCTTTCTATCTCTTCCCCAAAATTAATGTTTCTGGCTTGCTCTTGCTTTGTCCTCACCTGTTTCTGAGATCCAGGGCTGAGCTGGTGTCTTCTTTCTTCCTGCAGGGTAGATTCCTTCCGGGTGTGCCCAGAAGGCCGTGGCCGAAGTGCCATCCCTCGCCGGCGTCCCACACACTATACAGTGACTGTTCCTGACTCCTGCTTCCCTTCAGCAAAACACCCCCTGCCCCACCCTGCCTACCACTCCGGCTCTGAAGATAGCAGCTCTGATGTCTCCAGCATTTCTCATGCTACCTCTCCAGGCAGTAGCAGCCCAGACATCTTCTTGCGGCCCATGTCCCCATCTGACCAGCTTTGTTCCCGGAGAACCTGGGTCTCTGCTGATGGACGTGAGCTGGCAGCTTATTATCCTAAGCTGTTGCCCCCGTCTGGATATTTCCCACCAGGGAGGTATGTAATGGTGGCTGATAGGCAACACTTGCCTGCTGGATGGGAGCTTTGCCACCTGGGACCTGGCACTGTCTACGATGAAGATGGAACCCCTCTGCGCTACCAACGACTAGTGCCCTCTCACAGCCGGATTGTGAGGACACCTTCCTTGAAGGACAGCCCTGCAAGCAGGGGACTCAGCAAGGCAGCTGTATCAGAGGAACTCAAGTGGTGGCATGAGCGGGCACGGTTACGGAGTGCCCGTCCACATTCATTAGACCGGCAGGGGGCCTTCCGAATGAGGAGCCTCCCTGCAGGCAGAGAGTCCTTTGGGAGAGTCATGGGGAGAACACAGGTATGGGAGAAAGAAAGTCATTAGAGTGGAATAGGGAACTTGAAAGGCAAGTGAACCTAATGCTTGCCTACCCAAGGAAGGTTATGGGGTGGGATAAGAGAACAATAGGTAATGTGGGCAAGTCCAATTTGAGGAACAATGAAAATACAGCCAAGTCTCAATTTGTCTGCACTCAATTTGTCTGTGTAGTTTTAAGCAGGCAATGACCCTAACATCATTTCTTTGAGGCTTGTATGGTGCCCCTTGGCTTTCATGGGTCAAATTTATCCTGTCCTATTGGTGGGTAAGATGCTTATACTGCACTTCTTGAGTACATGCCAGTTTGGTAGCATTAGGAGGTGACCCCCAAAGTGGATGAATCACATGCAGATCATTGAGAGTTGACTGAATCCTCTAGGTTTATTTAGGCTGCTCTGAGAACTTAACCCATCTACCTCCTGACCTAGTAGGACCCAGGAAAAAGGCATTAGTCAGATCCAGAGCTGAATCATCTTCCTGCCTATTCAGCCCTCCAGGGACTTAGGGGACACTAAACTGTGTTCACAAAGGAAGACTCTGGGACCAGAGACTGGGAAAAACTGCCTATAATGAACTCTTTCCAGTTTATTCTCTAGCCTGACATGGCACCTCCTTTTTCTTTGGATCTCGGGCTTCCTATCTGAAATGGCACAGGGGTGGGGGGGACACTTCCTCTTTGAAGTCATTCATATACATTCGTACTCTCAAACACAACTCCTTTGTTTTCCCTGTCCCCTCTTCACTGGCAGTAGGGAAGGGCCCCAAAGCTATAAACTCAGATGTGTGTTTGGGTCCTGAGATTCCCTTTAGCAAGTTGCTTCTCCACCCACAAACCATTTGGGTTGCTGCTGGCGCCCCACTGGCTCTCCTGGCCTGGAGCCCAGGCCGCACCCTCCCAGCTGACATGTTCTCCCTAGGTGCAAGCTTGGACCTGTTCTTGGCCCTCACCTAGCCTGCCTCAACCTGGCCAAGGAAGTTCCAGTAGTGGGGAGTAAACCTGTAGAAGGAGGGAGGGGAAAGAAGAATTTTAACTGGAAAATTTCCAGAAGAGGGTGCCCAGAATGGTGAAAGGACTGAATCCTCATGCCACATGAGAATCAAGTGAAGGCACTGGGGTAGCTTGGAGAACAGAAGGTGGGGATGAGAGAAGGGACATGATTGCCATCTAGGTAGAATTTACAGAGATGGTTTAGGATCAACGTAAAGAAAAACTTTCTAACAGCGACAGCTGTCTCAAAACAGATGGGCTGCCTCAGGAGCTAGTGAAATCCTCCCCACTGCAGGGGTTCTAGTGAGGGAGCGGTGGCCATTTGTGGGACATGTGATCTCCCTCCACCGGTGCACCTTAGGTTAGGACTTAATACTTTTTTATTCATTCATTCCTTCATTCACCCCACCACCCAAGCTCAGCATTCCTTTTGGATCCTCATTCATCACCCCCATACATCCTATTTCCCTGTCTTCACTCCTATAGGTTCCTCCCTCCTCCTCCCCACAGCTCAGCCAGGAGAGAAGCACAGAACCTTTCAGAGAGGTCGTCAGTTCAAATCAACCAGCATTCATTAAGCAGCTATTGTGTACCAGACAAGATAGTCCCTACAATCAAGGGGACTTCATTTAGAGAGAGGTTAGGGCTTGAGGGTGGCAACAGTATGCAACACAAATAAACATATATAAGATTTATCCATAATAAATTTGAAGTAATTGCAGGGGGTACTAATAAATGGGGGACTTAGGAAGGGCCTCTTATAGGAGGTGGTGCTTAAGCAGAAACTTGAGGGAATTAGGAGTTCCAAGAGTCAGAAGTGAGGTGGAGTGCATTGAAGGCATGGGAAGAATGGGTAATCTGGGCAGAGAAACAGAGCTAATAGAAGGAGATAGAGCGTTGCCAGATAGGAACCTAGAAGGGGGTGCATGTGATCCAGAGCAAGGTAAGGCTTGAGGTGTGGAGCATGATTAAAGACTGAGGATAATACAACAGGGCACTGTGGAATGAGGCTCCCGCCTGACTTGATTACCCACTGACTCCTTTTTTTTCCCAACCCTGGCAGATGCCCATGGTCCATGTGCTGAGGAGGACGTCTGATGGAACCCCTATGCAAGTCTATGTACCAGAGAAAGGAGAGGTCATCAGTCAAGTGTGATGCTATGGCTCCCCTCTCGTGGTTATGGGGTGCTGCCACCCCACTGCTGGGAAGACTTTAGTCCATTAAGGAGGGTGCCCTGGACTTTGGGGTTGGCCTTAGCCCGTACCCTGGCACCTCTCCTCAGTTCCTTATACTCATCGCAGGTCGATGAGCAAGACCTCAGACTTCCTCTGATTTTAGTTTAGGAAGCCTGGCCTGAAATTTTATACTTCTGTGTTATTTTCAAAGATGCTGTTATGTTCTGCTTTATCCCATCTGTCTGTCTGTTATGTTTGACCACATCAGTCATGAGTGAGCCTCCTGTGTTATGGTTGTTTAAGAGACTGTCAACAGAGGCAAACCATGCCCATGTCCCTCTGTGTTCGAGGCCAGGCATCTCCAACACCTGCTGGGGGGGTTTGGGTAACAGGTGTCTCCAAATCCTCCTGTCTCTGCAGGACTCACTATCCTGATGGGGAGGGCTTTCTCTCTGTTTTCTGTCCCTTAGAAATGTGCTCTGTGATGCACAGCCCAAGTGATGGTTTCCTTAGCCCACAGATCCATGTAGAGGAGCAATTCCTTGTCTTAAATTTAACCTGGATGGAAGGAAGGGGAAAGAATAAAATGTGTCTGGTGTGACTCAGCTTCCAACTCCCCACTTCTCACCTCTACCTCCCACTGTGGAGCTCATCATTGCTACCTTCCCCAGGCTGTAAGATCTCATCTTCTGCTTGGGCACTGCATTTGGAGCTGTCCATTGAGAAGGCAAAGTTTTGCTATCCAAATCCAGGGATTCCTACATTGGCTCCTGATGGAGGTTGACTTTGCTTGAAGAGGGCATTCTGTGTTGATTGCACCAACCACTATGAGGAGTAGAGGCAAGCCTGTGCTAACACCCTGTGCTGCTGCCCCCAGCAGAGCCTGTCCCAGAACAGAAGAGCTGGAAAAGGAGTCCCAGTGCTAGGAGAGGGATGCTTTCATACCTAGCAGCAACCAGGTCTCGGTTCCCACTAGGTTATTAGAATTTGGGCAGACAGCTAAAAATGTATTTAGAGGCCCCGGGATCTGGGTCCTAGACTGGAGAGGGGCGTCAGGATCTTGGCAGGAAAAGAAAAGATTCCCACCTAATTGCACTAAGGGTCCCATGGTGAGATGCTGGGGAAGGGGAAGCAGCAGCCACAAGGATGGGCTCTACGATTTCATGTGCCAACTCACTTTCCTTTCCTGCTTCTCTTGGCTGGGTTCTGATAAGTAGCCTTAACTTCTGGCCTCTTCTAGTCTCTAGACACCATCTTTTGCCACAGCCAGAGCCCACTACTACTACTCATTCCTTTTTTTTTTTTTAATCACTTCATAGGCTTTATTTTTGTCTCCTCACCCTGAAATGTCTCTTCCCCAATAGTTCCCATAGCTGAACCAGGCAGGTCTCAGGGACTTCCCTACCCAAGTCTTTCTCTGTTTAACTTACTGGTTCTACATAGCCCCTGATGGCATCATAAAATGGCCCTGTCCCCAGCTGCAGGGCCGGAATTGTACGGGGTGTAGTGTCTCCTGAATAAAATGTACTCTTTGTGATCGTCTTAGCTGAGATTGTGGGGGTGGGGGTTCTCAAGCTCTGTCTAACACTGAAGGCTGTTTTCTCCCAGGCTGGGGGAAAGCCACTGGCCTCTCTCCAGCTGATCTGATTTCCACCCCAGAGAAGTAGGTGGGGGTGGAGCGGGAGAGATTTGGGGTTCTTCCTCTTTTTCTGATAGGCACAGAATTGGACCCAGCAAGTCAATGGGTGTGTGGCTTGGCTGCTTGCAGTTGGTCTTCCTCACCACACTCTCCTCCCACCTCCTCACTTCTGTCCCATCTCATCGACAAAGCCTTCGGGATTCTGGTTGGACCCCTGGGACACAGGTTTAGCCATATTAGGTCTCACCCCATGGTCACTCTTCAAAGAAGGTTTCTGAGTGCTTGAAATTGACTAGTGGCTATGATTCCAGCTTAGGATTTTTGGAGAGGCATTGGAGGTCCTATCCTACCACCCCTCTTCCTATTCTCTTCCTATCTATACCCTGCCAGTCTTTCCAATAGGTGTGTGTGTGTGTGTGTGTGTGTGTGTGTGTGTATATGTGTGATGTAATCTAGTGGAAAACAAGTCTTAGGCATAATGGGCAGGGGACACTTAACAAAGTGGAATTGGGTAGATAATGACCACTCTTATCTTTTCCAAAGTTGGTGATTTTTAAAGTGGGTTTTTTTTTTAACAGAGACACAGCCCCCTCACTACCACTCTCTAAGAAAGAAATAGATGTTCTTCCTGAGCTGGGTGTACACACTCCCCTAGGGACACTCCACTCTTTGGGGATGGTACCTTGGATACTCATGTAACCAAGGGGGAGGGTAAAGCCTCCACATGAGCCTGAGGATGGCTTCGTGCCATGCTGATGGTGAGGAAGCCTCAGGGCTGGGCACAGCACTGCCTGGGCTCTACAGGTCCCATGTGGTCTTGAACCTATCTACCAGAGTGCAAGGGTACTACCAGCAGACTGATATTCCATTCTCAGTCTACACCAGGTCCTTGCTGTCCTTGCCATGTCCACAGACCCCTCAAGAAAATGATCCTCTGAGGATCAAAGCAAGTAGAAGGGGCTGAGAAGGCCCTTCCAAAGCAATGCCAGGTGAGACCTGCCGAGTGGCCCAGTGGATCCTTCCAGAATGGGGGCAGACTCCCCTTGAGCAGAGCCAGGAAAAGACAGGTGGTGGCACCCAGACATATTTGCATATTTCCACAGGGACCTTCTGCCCGGGTCGACTGCAGAGATAATAACAACAATAATCACAGCTAACATTAGTAAAACACTATGTGCCAGATACTGTGCTAAGTACTTCACAATTATTTCCTTTGAACCTCACACCAACCCTGGGAAGTAGGTGTTATTATCATCCTAATTTTACAGTTGGGGAAACCGAGGCAGGCAGAGTTTGTGAAGTGACTTGCCCAGGTCACAGAGGTAGTGTCTGAGGTTAGAATTGAACTCAGGTCTTCAGGCATAGGGCTGTATTCACTGTACCAGCTCACTGCTTAAGAGGCAAGAGAAGAGAAGATCAGGTCCAAGGAAGAACTATGTGGCCAAGATAGGGTGGGTGTGAGTCCCTAGAATAGAGTGTGAAACCCATTTTTAAGAAAAGCACAGTGGTTTCCATAGGCAATACTGGTGTCTTAGAAGAAAGAGCCATGACTTGGAGTCCAGCTCAGCCAAGAACCTTCCTTTACTATCTGAAGAAAGGGGCCCAGAGAGGTGAAGGGATGTACCCATGGCCACACAGAAAGTGAGTGATAATACTACTACTAATAATAACAGCTATCATTAATATAGTCCCTACCATGTGCCAGGCACCGTGCTAAGTGCAGGTGATGCAGTACAGAAAGTAAGAATGCCTCTGCAGGTCTCAATCCATTAAGACAGTCAATTGATATTGCCGTGTTAGGAGCTATTGATATGATCTGATTCTTGTGCTCAGAGCAAGAGGTGTCACGGACAGGGCGGGTGGCAAGATGGCCTGGGGGGACATCTGGATAAGATAGTAAGCCTGGTCTTGCTAAATATAAGCTAGGTGACTTGTCATTCACGCAGTTTCTGATCAAAATGGCTCACTACCAGATTAGGAGTTCAAAAGCTAGTATAGATTTAATTCCTCCAAGACCTGGGAGTGTGGATTCAAGAGATCCCTTGCTGGGCCTGTTGGTTAAAGGTGAGGAGAAACGACTCCGGAAGGCAGGAAAGACAGCCAGGGTGTACTTTTGGGTGGGATGTGTGCCTGATATTCCTAGCAGTTCTTCCTTGGGTTGGCTTTCTGAAGGAGAAAGAAAAGCAGTGGCCTGAGCCCCTGGACAGTTAACCCTGAGCCTTAATTGGGTCATTTCTTAGGTTTGTGACTTGATGGCAGAGAGCCTAGGAGTTTACAGGAGTTTCTAACCTTTTCTATGTCATAGACCCCTCTGGCAGTCTGAGGAAACCTATGGATCCCTTCTCAGAATAACGTTTGTTGTTTACATTCATAATGGAATGAAATGCCACACTTCAGTTAGATTTAGTGAAAATAAAGATGTAATTATTTTTCCTCATCCAGTTTCTTGAGCCCCCTGAAATATGACCCTGGACCTCACCAATCCTAAGTTAGGAATCCTTGCCCTAGAGCAACGGTAGAGCCCTAGGAACAGATATGATTGAAATAGATAGGACATCTTAAATCTCTATGCTGGGTACCTTCATCCTCTTTGGAAGATGGAGGTAGTTTTTTTGGGCGGGGATAAGATAATGTCAATGCCTCAGGGAGTCCCTTTCCTCCTTCTTTCCCCTCTCTTCTAGGCTAGTGATTGGCCCATCGAGGTAGTTTCCACTTCTCTTACCAGACTCATGAGCCCTGCCTTGGGGGAGGGAGCAGGGAGAATGGTGCTTTTCTAGAGCTGAGAATTTTTCAGGGAATAGAGCCTAAGGGAATGTCATTGTCCTACAGGGAGTTAGAATGTGGTGCTGCCCAATCTAACTGAACAAGCATTTATTTATGAACTGCTATGTGGCACGGTTTGGGATGCTGGGGATGACAAAGACAAAGTGCAAAACAACCCGGCCCTCAAAGATCTTACATTCAACCGGAGGGGGGGGTTGTACACGTGGGGGGGCATCCAACTCATAAACAGCTAAATGTAAATATGAAAACGTGAGGAGGGGAAGGGCACTAAGAACACGAGGTGTGAGCAAAGGCATCCTATAGGAGCTGACACATCTGCTGAGTCTTGAAGACCAGGAGGGATTCTAAGAGGCAAGGGTGAGGAGGGTGTGCATTCCAAGCAGGGGGGTACAGCCTGTGCAGAAACACAGAGGTGGGAGATATGCTGAGTTTGAGGGCATGGCAGGGAGTTTCACAGACTGACTAGAAATTTAGAACCGGAAGGAACTTTTCAAGATCATTTAGTGCAGGTCTCCAAACCTTTACAAACTGGCATTCTGGGAACCTGATAAGGCCAAGGTCAGGCAGAAAGCTAGTAAGAAAACCAAAGCTCAAGTCCAGGCTTCCTGACTTGGGGTCCGGTGCTCTTTCCACTGGCCTGAGTAATCTAGCAGAAGCTATGTGCCTCAGATTTTCCACCTGGGGAGTAAGAAGATTAGGAGAGGGGAAGGTGGTCCTTCTTTTTAAGGATCTGAAGTTCTTAATCAAGGGATTAGGTTTCTTCTGCTTGTCCCCAGAGGACAGAAATAGGATCAACAGGGGAAATTACACAGAGGCTAATTTTGGCCTGATAGAAAGAAAACTTATTGATCATTTTCATTTATTCTTATTTTAATAATTTTATTTTATCCTTAGTGTAAAGAGCATCATAAAAAGAACATTTGCATCTAAAATAGGACAGACAGAGAGAATTATGTGTGAAAACACAAATATTTATTATTTACATTTGGTTTTTTAAAAAGACTAATAAATTCATATAACTTTCAAAAATAAATAAATATTCATCCATTTTGGAAGGAAGGAAAGAAAGAAGGAAGGAAGGAAGGAAGATTTCCTGACAATTAGATCAGTACTTTATTAGGTGATGAATTTTCCAACACTAGATGGCTTCTTTCAAGCAGAAACTGGGTAGTCATTTG